CTGCCGCCGAAAGGGACCGTGACGCAAGGCGATGGCGGGATGGAAAGGGAACCATAGAGAGCGGTTGGCCGGGCTAGAGCGGCGCGGGCGGGGCGCCATGGGACGGAGCGGCGGGAGCGGGGCCGCCGCCGGGCCGGTGGCAGGGAGCGGAGGTGAGCGGGGACCGGGAGGGAGACCGGGGGCGGGATCGGGCTGGGAGACGGACAGCGGGGCCGGCGGGGATGGGGAGGGGGCCCGGGAGCGGCGCGAGGAGGGGGCGCGGCCTGGCCCGGCGGGCTGTGGGGAGCCCCCGGTGCTGTTCCCGTCCCCCCTCACCTCTCCCCTCGCTCCCGGCAGCCGGCCGGTGATGTGCCAGAGCCCCGGCGGGTCCTGCAGGGCCCGGCCCCGCGGCAGGGAGGGCCCCGGCGCCCCCCGAGCCTCCCCGGCCGCCGCTCCCGGAGATGAGGGTCCCTCCGCCGCCCGGCAGAGCCGCTGACTCCGTGGCACCATGGCCCTCTCCGGCTGTAACGTGCTCCTTGCCGTAGCCCGGACCAGGTGAGAGCCGGGGTGGGGTTTGCCGGTGCCCCGTGTTTCGGTGGGGGGGATGGGACAGGGAGAGTGACACCGGAGGGAGCACGGGGGCACCGGGCACAATTAAACGTGATTTATTTACTGTCACGGGTGCTGCTCCGGTGTTTTGCTGTGTGTGTTCAGTGTGATGTCAGTGCTGTACCCCAGAGCGCTCCCACAAACGGTTACCTGGTGGAACAGGCTCACGGTGTGGTTTGGGTGGGAAGGGACCTTAAGCCCCCCCCGTTAGAACTGGGAAGCCACTGCAGCTCCGTCACTAACAGAGCCCAGCATTCCTCAGACACCACACGCTCTGACGCCTTCCGATAACCAAGAGAAAACAATATTCTTGAGCACTCACAGGAGGTGCTGCGCTCTCCCCGAAGAATTAACCGCAGCACGCTACTCTCTTCCAGAAGCTGTGCCCCGAGTTGTGCTGCCTGTGGGGCTCAGAACAGTTCAAATCCACCACCTGCTCCAGGGCAAACAGTCTGTGCCCGGTGCCGTTCCCAAAAAGCTGGGGTGGCATCGCTAAGGGCCCCCCGGAGCTGCAGCTCTCTCTCCTCAGGGCAGTGCCGAGGAGGGGCTCTGACCCCTCACCACTGTGGTCACTTCCCTAAAGGCCCAGCACTTCACACAGCATGGGAACAGCCCTCTCTCCATCTCCTCTGAAACAGGAGCGTCTAGCCCTCATTCATGATGGGAAAACTCTTAAAGACAACATCTAAATACGTTTAAATCACAGTTTTGAAAACAAGAAGGCGAATAAGCACATCCAACAGACTGTGATCTGCATTGTCGTAGAAGCCATCTCACAAATTCACATGGAAATACACCTTTGAGGTGACAAAAATCTGCATTTCCAAGTTCCTGAGCTCTGTAACGCAGCTCTCCCACTCCGGCCTGATGAACAGAGGACACCTTCTTAGCAGGGTTCAGAGGACAGCAGTCTGTGTTTGCCTACTCATCTAGTTTTAATTTCCTTTCCTGTCACTTCCTCAAGCAAGAGCCTCTCCCTGGGGGAAAAAAAAAAACAAACCAAACCCCTCCTCTGCGATCCCGGGGGCTGTGGTTCAGCAGAACCAACTCTGGCAGAATGAAGCACACAGGAACTAAATTGTACCGTTACATGGTCTGCCCTAACAATGCAGAAATGTTTTTGACAGTGAAAAAGTATTTGGATTAATGGCGGGGTGGGGCTTTCTTTCAGAACTTGAAGGACTTGGAGACCAGCCCTTTATGGGAAACGTGCTTCCCAACTGACGGGAAACACAGCAAGGGGCTGAGGGCTCTGGTGTCAGACCTCGGGAGCTTTCTGTCCCTCTTCTTAACCATCTCTCCCAATTTTATTTTCTACTTTTTTTAATACACTTCATCTGTTTGGGCACTCATTAGCGAAGTTGCCAAGGGGTTACAAAACCAAAGGGTCATTGTGAATGATACAATGTTTTTTCCCCCGCTAGTCCCTCAAACAGAGAGGACAACTGGAGAGACCACATCTCCGAGCCGAGAGCGTTCCTGCGGCTGCCTGCTTGCTCCGTCAGCCCCGCAGAGCCACAGAGCTGCTCTCAAACACGTCAGGGCTTGAAACCTCCTCCTGACACCTACTTCCACACAAAGCTGCTCTCAGGCACTAACACACAAAAGGAGGCCCTACTCTTACACGCCCCGTCGTACACCCAGCTGCTCAGAATGTGTTCTGTTCTATATATAGATACAAGCTGCAATCGCTTAAACGGGAACCTCTCAA